TTAATGAGTGCATGTGATCATCATTTTGTCATACCTTAGTAAGTTGTTCCAAGTTTCCTCCTCTCTGGGCTCACATGGCTGTCTCCCTGCTGTCACCTGGGAGCTGCTTGGTGGCCTCGCTTGGTTGTCCTCTCACCACCTGCTCATGCTGAAGGTGCCTACAGAGAAAAGCTCTGGGCATCTCTCATGTCCAAAGCTTATGAGCTAGAAATGTGGCCAAATATACTGTTTTAAAGGGATGTGATAATGGTAAACATAGGAGGTACTGACCAGGCACAATGGAATGTCACCGGGGACTTGATCACCTCATGATTTAAAAAAACTAAGTCAAGAACACACCAAAGGTTACCCAGAGAGTCACTAAACTCCACATTGAACCTAGAAATCTTGAACTTTAATCACAAGGCTTTTCTTGTCCCTCGTCTTCCCCAAATAACGTTGTGTGAAGGTTAATTTTGTACTAAAATGGAGTTAAACCAAATGCAGATACAATGAAAGCTGACGCTAAAGTATGCTCAAGCAGAATCCAGCCCGACGCGCTTTTCATTGCAGCAGAAACACAGGCTAATCCGCTTATCGGTTGGAGTTGGAGGTCCTGTACGAGTCGGAACGGGATGTTCAATTCAAACGAAAGGATTTTCTCTCTGAATAAGAGGACACATACTGAATATGCAAATAGTCAAATGTTCTCTTGACGGTTTTTGTAAATGGATTGCTTACTGCGGTGTTTAAATGAGGCTAATTTCATCTTATATTTCTATAGTCCTGTTGGTCCTGAAGAATCCTGAAGTACTTTACCAGTGACTACAAACACGTACTTTTTAAATATCAACCACTGACATGAGCAGCAATGGCGTGTACAGCGATGATGAAAAAATATTCAACCACAATCTGAGGTCAAGTTATGAATTTTTCTATAAAAAGTGTTAAAGGCTCCTACATGCCACTGTATTTCTTCTGGCTTTACCTGAAGTGCTTTCTGCCTTCTGGAATCAAATGCGTCTACATCAGGAGACTGAATGTTCCAGTTAAAGTCGCCATAATTTATAACAGCTCAGGTGTCCCCAAAGACTCACACAGAGTTGCCTTCTGGAGCCCTTGTACATTGGTTTTTCAGCGTAAACACTGAAGCAAATGCAACGTTTGAGGCTGCTGAGTCACTGGCGTGCATGGCTGACACTGGGTGACTGTCAAAAAACCATCCTTAACGTTGCCATTGTAAGAAGAAAAATAATTTAATGCTTTTCAACATTTCCTTACCTGTGCAGTCCAAAATTCACAGACTTTGTGGGACTCTTACAGTACTCTGTATACAAACCACAGGACTCCCAAAAATGTTGTACAGTTAAGTTAAATGTAGTGCAATTAAATTTGTTGCAGTAACAAATAATGCTCTTAGACATTAAATATTTGCTACATTGATGGAGATTAACAGAATCTATTAATCCTACAGAAGACTGGATGGAATAAATTTAACATAGGCTAAGATATGTTTGCATGCAAGAGAAGAAATTAATGTCCAAAAAACTTAAGTTCTAAGAAAAACACTTAAAAATTTGGTGCATTAAAAACTAAGCATAAAAAAAAGGGGGGGGGGGAGAAAAAGAAAAACACGTATTGTTCTATGTATTGTGGCTGTTCTGCGTATAATAAAATTCTTTGAGGAACTTTCTACATAAAGTGCACTTTTACTGTTCTTCCCTTGCAGGCAGGCTTTACAAGGTCTTAATATGATATATTGGAAGTAGTAAAAAATTCTTGAAATATATTTTTGAAATCTTTAGACCTTTGACCGTATTTGCTACGATGATACAGACTTAACAGTAAACCCACTTGAGAGACATTTTAATGGAACGCTTTAAATGAAATCAATTGGTAGTTTCATAATGGCAGCTGAATGTGTGTTCTTGCCATTTTCCCATTTAACAAGAAGAAAAGGCCAAACAAGGACCAATTAGTCATAATAAAATCAGCTTTGATGACATTTTCACTCCTGAACTCTGGTATAAAATGGTCATCTAAGAAAGAACTGAAAGGATATGTGAGGAATTTGGTAGTATAACTGCATGTACTTACATATGCACTCCTGAGCAAAAAATGATCAGGTAAAGACACTGCAGATACCTTCGTGTACGGAGGAAATATACTGTTTGTGTGTTTATGTGTATGCATGTAGTTTTGCTTGATTTTGTTTCAAATTTTAACTGATCTCAGCTTTTCTTTGAAGCCTATGCAGGTTAAACTTTGTTTTCATTCTTTGGATCTCAACGACATTTGTGTGCTCGGGTTACCCAGTTGTCCCTTCCATGGTAAGTCACGCTCCCTACTTACTTGAAGATCAAATGCTTCGTTTCTTTTAAATAGCTATTTTATTTAGATTTTTTTTGTTGCTTGTTTCTTTGTTGCTGGTTTTGTTTGTTTTTTTTTTTTTATAAAATCAAAGAAGTTTCTTGTATTAAAGCTATTGGTTAAATATTATTACCTGATTTTTCTGGAGTATAGCTCAATTTTTGCTTTAGTTACTAATGAAATATGCAAGACTAAAATAATCATGTGAGAAATCTATTGCATATTTAATGTACAGTGTGGGGAGCTTTTGCTGAAGTTGAAATACTGTATGGAAAAGAGAAAAACATAAATCTCCTCTCCATTCCATCTGAATTCCTTGTCTATATCAAATAGCTACAATAAGATATATGTATTAATTCCACTTATTGCCGGTTAGTTTATAAACCAATAAATTTATTTGTCACTGTTAGTGTGAAGGTAAAGGAGAAATTGTTATATAAAGTTATGGAGAGTTATTGCATGGAATCAGTAATACGAAATTGATTGAACTATGAAAGAAAGTAGAACAGCCTTTAAAACCGAAGTGAACAGGTTACTTAAATAATGGTAATGTCCTTTCAGGTGCTGATCTTGACCAGGTGACCATGGCAGATCGCTGGTCAAACTATGCATATAGCATTTAAGACTTTGCCAATGTGGAATGAGATATTTTATTTCTAATGATGTTCAATTTTTCTGCTTCGGACAAAGTCTTCTTTAGACACCCTGTTTATTGCTGTAAAATCAGCTCTTGAGGCCACGGTTCAGATTTCTTTGTTTTCTCTGATGTGTTTTGCACCATTATCCTTTCATTAAGGTGATCTGTCACTAGCAGAACTGGTGGCCCCTCGTGCAGCTGTTTATTTTATTGATGTGAAGTTCCCGTTAGCCTTAATCTATCCATCGCCCAGTCCCTCTCTCTCTTTTACTTCTGTAAATGCTGAATCATCTTTCATTTCTGATCATGGGCAGTTTAGACAGCGCTTGATGTGACTCGCCACATTTCTTAATGGATCTCTTTATGGAAATGATATAATGGGTAAAATGAGTTTAATTATTTCATATAAATGAATATTCTGTGTGTTGAAATAACAGTCATTTGTACAGTAGTGTACGTCCCTGTCTACGTTGGGAGCCAGCAGCTAAAAATTCGAAGGGGAATTTCTCTGTGCCTGTGTTCTTTGCAGAAAGCATTTCTTCTTGTCAGGGAGAAACTTCGGTCTGGGGAAAAATCCCGGTCAGCGGGAGAAGAAGCCGTGTGGTTCGCGAGCTGTGTGCCTGCTCGGTTCTTCGGGCTCAGTGCAGGCTCTTGCTTGCAGAAAGGTTCATTAATCTTCCTTTTATACGCACGGAACAGAAAAAATGTTAAGTACTGAACAGTATTAATAAAAGTAATAGCATACTGAATTAAAACTAATCTTAGTGAAGCGAATGGCAATTTTTCCATCATTTCCGGTGAAGGCAGGTGTTAACCCTGTGGCTTTGCGTGCAACCGTGTCCCAAGCAAGAATGCGGTACACGGCTTCAGAAATGATGGCAGAGTATTTGTTTTAAGTAGATAATCAGCAAGCTGGTAAATCATGAGGGGGTGAAAGGGGTACAGAGCAGCTATAGACATGCCAGGAAATGCTTCCTTTTAAGTTCAACGTTAATTTAAATGCAACTTAAATTTGCAAAACGTTTTTAGGCAGTTTACATTTTTATACTGCGAAGTGCGGGTAAGAGGAAGGTGTAGATAAACCTATCTGGATTTTAATCCAGACATTTTAAAATTCCCATTGCTATTTCATGCTTATTCAATTTAATTATAACTACTACCATAACTAGTCGTAACTGCCACCATAACTAGTCATAACTGCTAGAAAGCTTCCTCTCCCACATTTCTGCTTTACAGGTATTTTCATTTTCTCTTATCTGTCATTTAAACTACATGACTTCACACAAGTGATAACAAGATGTGGTTTTGTTGTTAACTGAAAAAAAAATCTCATTTTACAGCAATACACATGCATGCTACTCTAGGGAAACTGTGTTACATGTCACAACTGGTCAACATCACGGAGAACAATTTGTTTCATACCTTAGACATAATTGTAACAGTATCAGTATTTTATACCAGCAATACCACAGCTGAGTTTTCTAGAAAGCTACAAAAAAAAAAAGCTGATTTTGGATATGATGAATCCTTAGCAAATAGCAGTTCATCCTTGTCATTCTAAGCATAAACTGGTTTTGTGTTTCTGCTGTGCTATTTATACTGAACAAGACCTGACAAATACACAAATCCATAATTTTACCCTTTTTTATCTCTTTCCTTTTTTTTTTTTTATCCACAGAGCAGCAATCCTTTTTATTTGAATTGCCAGCTGTATGGAAAATCTGATTACTGCCTCGTCCTTCTGAATAACTGCTTAGCCAAGGTGGGCAGGAATGAAGAACTGGCTTTTTTAAAGCCTTACCTGGAGATGCCTCTCAATAAAAGGTCCTTTCGCAACGGTGTTGGATCGGGAATTAAAAAAACTTCCTTTCGAAGAGCAAAGTCATAAGCAAATGTTCAAAACCGCAGTCCCGATTTTAGCATCTGATGTTTAACTTTGTGCTTAAATTCATTTTAATGCTTTTCTATGATAAAACCAAGAGAGACAAATGTACCCGTGTCTTCATCATGTAAACAGATGTTTATTTCAAAGAGCACAAGCCAAGTGGAGCAGATGGGATTGCTCAGAAAGGGCTTTGTTTCCAAAGTTACAGTATCATAAAGTTTTGTATTGAAATGAATGTTTTCATTTGGTTAATTCCCCTCCTTTGTAAAGCTACAGATTTAATCAGCTTGCTCCTGATTAACACAAAATTAGTCCTGTGCTGTGAATAGGTGTGTGCAGGCAGCCTGTCGGGAGGACTGACGGTATTATTCCTGACATCCCTCCTCTGCCGTAGCGGCAAACCCAGCGGCAAGGCAAGGCATGCCTCTACTTTCCTGTCCCAAATCACATTTACTTGAAGACAACCGCTCTGGCAATATTAATACACATTTAAAGTACTAATTTCAGATTTCCAAAGGTATGAAGGGCCACTGGTGAAAGGCAGAATCAGGCCCTACTTGTAACTTCTAGTTTCTTTTTAATACAGTTATTTAAAATGACTGTAGCAGGAAATAATCTCTTGAGATGTGTCATCTCATTTCCAGGAGAGTCCTGGGAAATCACTCTAAGGCAGGGTATCAGCGCAGCTCCCTTCGCCTCAATTAATTGACTTACGTAGGCAACACACATCTGATGAAATGTGCCAAATGCGGTTTCTGCTCGTCTGCTACAGTTGTGGTGCAGTAATTAATAACTTTTTTTTTTTAATTTCCTGTAAAAAAAAAAAAGTAATTTGGTCTGAAAATATGTAAATGTGGTGCGTAGGAAAGGTCATCTGCTGAGTGACATCTGTATGAATTTTACCTTGTGGCTGTCTGCTCCAAATGCGGTGTAACGAGCTGTAACGGCGGTTTGAAAACGTTGCAAAGTGTCCGTGCAAATGCATTTCGAATTCAAAGCTCAGATAATAATAAATCAGTATGTGGATGCTTTCTAATATTTCCCTGTTAAATATCATAGCCTGGGACATCACTACTCAACCCAGAACAAGGTGGGGTCCACCATCACCGCCGCGATGCCCATTCCTGTGTCTCGCACCCCTGAGCCCATGGGGAAAAGCGACTCGAGCACGGAGCCGTGCTGGTGCGATTCTGGGTTTCTGGACTGCAGCTGCCTCATTTCTGGCTGGTTGAAGGAGATCAAACACACTCCTGTCTGTGTTTGTCCATGCTGAAATGTTTAAAGCATCGTATTTTTTAAAGCTGCTTAAACACTTAGGCTCCTTTTGGGCACTGTCGGTGTCTGGGTTGCTTAGCTCTTGCAGCTTTTAGTCAAGTGACACCTGGAGACCTTCAAAAATGTATAAGGAAAATGTTAGATGATTATTATTCTCGTGCACTGTGACTCGTGTAACGTGCGGATGGGGAAGCCCAGGCCGGCAAACGCGGTGGTAGCAGGAGCTTCACTGCAGCAGGGCGTTCGCTCTGCTTCATTCTTGGCTGCCGTGATTTCAGCCACGGCAGATGTCCTGGAAATGCAGTTTTCCAACTCAAACACTCTCCAGCTCTGCCCAAGAAGCAGCATTTTAATGCCGTTGGCCACATAAAACTGAAGGGCAAGGAATGACTCTGGGCCCATGACTCCTGGGCGTGCGGGTAAGTGCTGCCAAGAGGTACCGACCTGCCGAACACAGGTCCTGAGTGTGGGGTCCCAACAGTACTTCGGGGAAAAAAAAGTAACGTGGATTTAATTATGCCCTTGCGCAGGCATAATGTGTGTATTCTGCATCGGTGCATGTCTGTATTCAGGGAGGTGGAGGTGTTTTGTCGCAGTGCAGCTACCTGGAGTGGCCCTGGCCTCCTCCTCCCAGCTCATATCACCACCCAACTTATTTTTCAGGGAAGAAAAAAAACGAAACAAGTCCAAATTTATCTTTGTCTTGGGCTTTCACATCCATTTTAGTTGACTTTTTTTCTACATAATCAGATACATTTCTGCCTTGGTAACCTCTGATCAACAAGGTTGTTTGAAAGCCAACAACAGAGCTATACGTGGAGCTATGAAAATCAGCCTCTTCCTTTAATTTATTGTGCAGGTATATGACCAAGTCGTTTAGTGATTCAGCAATTGCCTTTGAGCGGGGAATGCTCAGGAGGGATGGAGAGACGGTATCCCGCTTGCACAGACCTTCGTCCCCTTTTTTTTTGAATGTATGGGCTGCAAGAAAACCAGCTTCTTGGCTAGAGGAAAAAGCCCATTATTTATGATTTAGTCATTCCCTGACAGGGCACTCCACCTTGAGGGATCTGCATACGCAAAATGATGGTACGAGGAGGCCACCAAGAGCCATAAGTTTTGCACTCACCTAAATCACACCGAGCAAGCCGGGAAAATGTAGATTATCCAGCTGATTTACAGAGGTATTTCTGTCACTGGTGGCCTGATCTCGCCGTCACCACCCACTGAAAACTCACAGCGCTTGTGCTGCCTTCGACACGAAATGCTAAACTCTTTTCTGAACTTTAAAGGTAGCTTTATTTTGGAAAGAACAGAGAGTAACCTTAGTGATCTCTGTCAGAAAATCAGGATCTAAGGGTGCCATCGCTGAGCACATTAATTTTTATGCTGACAGAAACTGGAAACATGACATAAAATGTCTCTTTGCAGTGCAAGGAGGACAATAGGAACGACTGTAGGAATGCTGGCCTGCAGCATAATTAATGTGCTGCAATGAATGCTATTCCTTTCTGGAGAAGAGGGATTCCTTACTCTGTGAAAAGATACTTTGTTGACTGTTTTAATATTTTTCTTGGCTAACCTAAGAGAAAGAATAAATAAGTTCAGAGGGTGGGAAGGGTAATGGATTTTGTAGGGGTTGAGGAGCGAGCTGGGAAGCTGGGAATGTCTCGACCAGTCTTGGCCTTTGGTGGTAATGCAGTCTGTGACCTTAGAGAAGTCACTTCATTTCTACTCAGTTTCTCCATCTGAAAAATAAGACGCTGTTCTTCGTCAAGCCATCTCGCATAAGCACTGTCATGACTGATGGATTTGGGAAGCGTTTTGGAGGTGTTGGGGCAGAGAAGGGTGGTCTCTACAGCCATCGCAGAGTCCTGGGGCTGGGAGAAAGGCATGAGCTCTGCCGCACCATCAAGGGACCTCCAGCGTCACCTTCAGCATGGGACCAAGCACCCTAATGCCCGTGTTCATCTTCTAAGCTGCAGGGAGCCCTATGGATTTCACAGCCAAGCCAATCCCCGGGTTTACGAGCTGTTTTCAGCTGCGTTGCCCATTACTTCAGCTACTGCCAAACAAATGGGTGAGATGCTCCTTCCTTGATGAGGCTGAGTGAGAGGCATCCTCTCCACCTGCTCTTTCAAAGTGCAGCTGCTATAGTTTATTCAATCTCCAGCTAGTAATACTTTGTATTTTCTTCTTTTTTGATCATGCATCCTTTGGTAAAATACCTTAACATGTATTTAAAGGACATGCAGAATCCCTGAATCCATAGGGCTTTTTTACCCTACTTTGCTCTAACTTGTATCTCCCTTTGGAGGCTTTGGACATTAAGTCTCCACTGATGTGTCCTTGTCCTTGGGCTGTGAGGACCATCTTGGAGCATAGCAGTCACTATTTGCAGCAGCAAGCCTGTCCTGAGCCCTGGGGATGGGCTGCCACTGCTCTGTAGCTTCAGGAGCCTGTGCTGCATCCCCATCCCCATCCCCGTCCTCATCCCCATCCCCACCCCTGGACGGGTACCTCGCAAAGGGCCGTGCGCGTTCTCGCACCTTGCCTGTTGCTCCTCTGCTCCCTAAAAACGAGCTGTGCCTTTGAAGGAGGCAGCTAAGATCCACCAGGAGGTGAAAATGAAGAGAACAAATCCAATGAAATATGAATGAGTGAAATCTGCCTGAAGACAGGAGGAGGAATTAACATTTTTTTTTCTTCTTCACAGATTATTGGCAAGAAAGGCAATTAAATAGCCTGATGTAATAGCATCTAATTTACCTGCAAGACTGAAAATTAGTTGTTATAATGACATCCCAATACTTGGTCTTCTGATTACCAAGTATATATTGAAGTGTATATCTCTCTCACGTTTAGATTTCCTAATTTGCTATTATTTGCCTGTAGATGGTAATATATTGCCTTAAAATACTGAAAGGAAGAAAGGAAGTGTCTTGCTGCTTTTAGCTCTGGATATAATTTTGACCTTAAGAAAGAACAAGACAGATATGAGAGAGTATATTAGATGTTATTATTACCGTAATAAAACACAGATAAAAATCATAGTGCAGAAAGACTCTAAGACAACTATTAAGCATTTGTCATATAAAGAAAATCAAAATTTAACTTATCAGATATTCTGGCACTTTAAAGATTCATCATGAAAAATTACTTCTAACAGTGAAGCGTTTATGCAATATGTCATCGATGAGCTGTCTGCTTAAACGTTTAAAGACTTTGGAAAAAGATTAAAAAAAAGCCAAAGATACGCTTTTTATTAGTCTGACAGACAGAATGTTTCACTGTATTTAAATTTATTTTAAATAGTGAAAATGTACGCCATTACATTTTTTTAAGAAAACAAGCTGAGCTCATTGCCCTACCCTAACATGCGATGGGTTAGTGAGCACAACCAAACTGAGAACCGAGCTTCTTGACTAAAAAAATGATACAGCTGTACATCAGACTTCACTCCAGTAGGCAGTTTTAGAGCCAGGGGCAATTTTTCTGCCTTTGTGGTGATAGAAAGACTTTTTCTTCTAATACCCTACTGGATTTGAAGTCATTGGGTTGATTATGCTTAAAATTAAGCGTATCTTAAAAGCTTGATCAACTGAGACCTATCTTCTCAAAGTCTTCAGTATGAACCTTTCAGAGGACATAAAAGAGCTCAATGCGATAAGAAATGAGCTATCGAGTGCTGCTCTTGAGACATCATCCACAACTCATTGAAGTCAACA